AGCTTCAGCCAGCTGGGGGACAGACGACGGGTTGTTGCCTGGTTGCTGGAGTCAAGGGCTCCATGGGATCCTGTCTCAGGTCCCATTTGTCCCCAGGCATCCCAGTGAGGCCCTGGGACCTCATGAAGCAGGCCCTGCAGATACTGTTTGGGAACCAGACCCTGTACCGCAATGTGAGTGCCAAGCAGGCAGGTCCTGTGCTGGAGTCGGGGGGCCCTGTGTGGAAGGGCTGGGAGTGGGCGCGTGGATTGACCCCGCTGGCTTACAGGCCCACTGCTGGAGCGCCCTCCTGGCCCTGTGGGGCAGCAGCCCTGTCCTGGAGCCAAGCAGCCTGCTGACAGCACTGACACTGCAGGTGCCCTCGTCCCTCTTCCGGAAGGTAAGCACATGGGAGCCCATCGATGCGAGTCTCCATGAGGGAGGCCACCTGCCTCTGGGCTCCCAGGGGCCTGGTATGGTGGCCCTGTGCTCAGGCAGCCTGCATCTGTGACCACCCCCAGGTGGCCCCGGGGGGTTCCCAATCCTCTCACCACTGACCTCCAGTCAGACCACCGGGTGGCCCCTTGGTGGGGCTGTGCTTGGTCCCTACAGAAGGTGCTATATGCCTCAGATGCCATCCTGCAGGAACTGAGGGTGTACTGGCACACCACCCTGCCCACCGACCTCTTCTTTGGCCCGGTGAGTCTGAAAAGCTAGCCCCATGTCCCCCCCACCAGTTCTCTCTTCCCTCCCCTGGACACTGCTCCAGGCTCATGTGCAGGATGCGTGGCAAGGGCCTATGAGGTCTGTCTGGCCCCACGTGACCACTGCCCATTCACCCCAGCTGGGCCTTGAGACCTGCCTCCTGCTCTGCGTCCAGGCTGCACGTCACATGCTGACCACAGAGTTCCCTTGGCTGCCCTCACTGCTGGACATTATCCTTGCTTTTGGGGTGAGGCAGGGGCAGGGTGGGGGTGTGGGGTGGGAGGGGCAGCAGGACGAGCAGCATATTGGAGGTTGGGTTCGGTCACATGACCTCCTGCTGGACCTTGTAGAAAAACCTCTGGGCACTGAAGGTATTTCTGGACGGCGTGAGAAAGACCCCTGCCATTTGTGAGGTCATCAGAATGATCTCCCGGGACCTGAACCACCAGAAACAGACCTTGCTTCGCTTGTGAGTGACCCACAGCCATGTGCACATGTGGGAGTCGGTGGGTATGTGTTGTGTGAACTGGTGTGGAGATGTGCGCGGTCTAGGAGCGGCTGCCCAGGACGTGGAGGCCCGCGGTACCCATGGGACTCTGGGGCTGGTGCCCAGGCTGTGTGCTGAGCCAAGAATCCCCAGGTGGCAGGTCCTGGGCCCCAACTACGTGGCCGAGTTGCTGGGCCTTCTGGGTTTCCAGAGCACCAACCTCCAGACAGTCGGCATCCTCCTGACTGGCGTTGTGCTGGAGAACCTCAGCCAGTGAGTGCCTCCACACCACTACACCCAAGAGCACCACTAGCCATCAGTCGGGGGGGGGCAGGGGGCCACATCACTGCTCAGTCTCAAAGACCACCCTTGACCCTTCCAGGTGTCCTTGGGCAAAGTCATTCGACCTTCATCGTCTTAAGGTGAGTGGCCTTTGCTCAGGAGGGGATACTCTTCACACTGGGGGTCCCAGAGCTTGTGCTTCCCGGCCACCATCCTCTCTCCCTCAGGCCGTCCAGACACCGCACCTGGACCCTTCCAACCACTTGAAGTTGAGCACATTCCTGTCAGTGTTGGAAAACCTGTAACTCACCATCAGTGCTCTTGGGAGAGTGGGTTTGATGAACCTGTTGGGACTCCATAGCCCACGGTTGTTTTGTTTGTTTTACAATCACATGACACTCAGAGCGTGGCCCAAGGGGGTCCCAGCTACACACTTGATGGCACCCTGGTCACCGAGCGGTGTGGGGAACGCCAGGTCCCACAACGGGCTTTGCCAATGACTTTGTGTCAGTGGGTCTGCCCTTAGGTGCAGGGATGGCGCCGCCCACCCTGTGGGGGCAGGTCAGGAGGTGGGAGCCCTGGGTGCATGGAGTTGGGGTGCGGCTGCTTCCGCAGACCTGGGACACCGTCCTGTTCTCAGTCAGTGGGATCCACAGCAGGGACCCTCAGGTGACGTGTATTTTTTGCACGCATAAGTCTAAAACTTGAATTCATTTTGAAAATCGCTTTCAGACTTTCAGAGACTCTTGGAAAAGAAGCACATTTTTATTAGCCCGTTTAACCCGGTAGAATAAACACTCTGGCCCTTTTCCGGTCCCTACATCTGTCCTTGCCACTGTGTTTAGGGGAAAGGACGAGGGGGCTGTTATAGCCATGTTGGGTACATCAGCGCAGGGCTGGGGTGTCTTAAGGGGTCGGGCCACAGGGAGGAAGGCAGATCAGAGTGTGTGTGGGCTTCACAACGAGATACAGGCACCAGGGGTTCCCACCCTCAGCACCACCCCTGCCGTGTTGGAGCCCCCCCAGGTCAGCTCAGCCCACCCGGCAGTGGCTATCCATGAGGCAGGCCCACGGGATGGGGGCCCGTTTCTGGGCCAGCAGAAGGAACTACGTGTCCTCGCTGGCGACCCAGTTAGTGGAGCTAATTTCAGAACGGGGCCTCCGCTCTCCCGAGAGCTGCTGGCAGCAGCAGAGCCAGGTCTTCCCAACAACCTCTGCCCACCAGGGCCAAGCAGGGGCCTCATGGGCAGGTGTGGTCCTGGGCACCATTGATTCCACATCACAGTGCTGACCACCAGCAGGAAAGGTGGGAAGGTCTGTGGCCACTGCAAGTCCATCAGTGTGTGCCCAGTACAGAGTTCACTGCTGAGGTGGAGAGGAGTCCACTCACTGAATAAGCACAGCCCTACCATGTGGGGCTCACTGCCCCCCCACCCCACCCAGGGATTGTAGCTGTACTGATCCTCAACTGCCCAAAGGGCAGCATAGGCATCCTCATGGGGGGAGGGGCCGTGTCTCCCACTGCTCTAGGGTCCTTCAGAAGCTTCTGATGACATCGGCTTGAGACCAAGTAGGTGGGGACAGTGGGAAGACTGATGGTCTGCAGTGGTCTTCACAGGGATGGTGGGAATCAACATGACCACCTGTTCCTCACCCCATAATCCATAATAAAAAGAATCCTGAGTTTCTAGGCTCCTCTCCAATCTGATAGCACAAGCGGGGTGGGGGGGCTGGGTCATGGACTTCAGATGTCCCTCTGGATGAAGGTAAAGTGACCAGGTCTGGGCGGCCCTACATCCTTGGTGCTGAGTCCTGGGGCACAGCTCCCCTGAGAAGCAGCCAGGGAGTAGTGGGTATCAGTCTGTTGGGCTGAGAGGCCTGAGTCCTTCCCAGTTCTCATATCTTAGGGGAGGTGCTTTAGGGGCCCAGCTCAGGGCAGGCTGGAGGATGCACAGCTTCCTTGACCTCCAGGTCCCCCGTATGGAGAGACCCACATCTTTGGTGGATGAGCTCCAGAAAGAAGGGGTCTTCTGACTCCCAAGGGTCTAACCACTGGCTAAGATGGAGTTGGAGGGGTCACAAAACCACAGCAGGAGCCCCATCCCAGCACCTAGCACCGCCCACCCCATCTCCACCAATGGGGAGACATCGAAGGGGGGCACATGTGCCAGGCAGGCCAGGTCTCCAGGGTCCCCGAAGGAGAGGGGGGGCTGGGCGGGGCCAGGAACCCAGGTAACAGCAGTGGGCAGGGCTCCGGCCGCCTCAGGAGCCAGTCGCATATCACCCATCACTTTGCTGGCTCTCAGTTGTCCTGTCCGCTGGTCCTGTTGCCACCTGGCCCTCCAGTCTGTTACCTGACCAGCCTGTCACCTGGCCAACGCCCTCCCGCCCCCTACCCTTGCCTTCTCTTTCACCGGTACTCAAGAGGTCACCACCCAAGGTAGGCCCCTCATTCTGAAGCGCTCTGTCCTCAAGACTGGCCTCAGTTCCAACTCGCAAGACCAGATCCGACCTGTCCCGACACGCGCGTGCGCGCTCGGAAACTAACTCGGGGGCGCGCGGCGGGGGCGGTGGGCGCGTGTGCGCCGTGCGCGCAGCCCGCTGGTTCCGAGACGCCGAGCGCGGGGCCGGAGCCGCGGCTGCGGGCGGCTCCGAGGTAGGTCGTGGCCCCTCCGCCACCGAGCCCGTGGGGACGGGGGGCTCATGAACACGCGAGCAGGGGCTCGGGGCCGCCCGTCGGCACCCTCTCCTGCCTCCCATACCTCGGCGTTGTCCTCCTAAGACCCCGCCCTATCCCATTGGCGATGCAGCAGCCCCTCACCGGGATAGAAATCTTCACCCTGTCACCCGCACTCAGGGCTCCCCAAAGCCAGAGGCCAGCTTCCCACAGCCTGTGGGAGCTGGGGGGGTACCTGGAGTGAGCTAGGGCTGGGGGTAGGGAGTAATCACCCCATTCACTTCCCAGAGGTCTCAACCTGTGGCTTTATCAGATGATTTGTGGGAGTTGGGGGAGCAAAGTGGGGCAGACACCCCACCCCAGATCCTGGTTCTGTCCTTCAGGCCGGACATGCAAATTTAGCCAAATCCACAGGGGGCCCCAAGGAATATGGGTGAGGGGTCCGTGGGTGCCTCCTGAGACCCTGCCCTCACTTGATTGCTGATCCCCTACAGCCAGACATGGAGAGTGGGCCTAGGGGCGCAGTGTGGGTTCCCTGGCCCCCTCCCCAGGAAGGTGTTGGTCCTATTGTCTGCTAGGGAACCCGTGCCCCATCCCCACCCCCAGTCCTGGGAGGCCAGGTGAGACTGACTGGAAAGTTAGAGCTGCAGTTAATTGGCCCCAGGGGTGAGGGGTGGGGCCTTTGGGCCCTGTTAGCTGGGAGGGGCCTCGGTAGCAGTTGCTCCCTAGGGCCCACCCTGGACAACGGGGTCACTCTCCAGGCCCACCAGGCTCACACCTACCCTAAGAGGGGACAGTCAGGGGGATGACTGCAGCGTGACATCGCACTCCCTCACAAGAATTCTTCCCTGTGGTGCCCCTAGCCCCAAGCTGGCTGCCGAGGCCCCAGACGCCATGGAGGAGTGGGATGTCCCCCAGATGAAGAAGGAGGTGGAGAGCCTCAAGTACCAGCTGGCATTCAAGAGGGAGATGTCATCCAAGACCATCCCTGAGTGAGTCCCAGACCCCACCCCCCCAGATTTGCATCTCATTTGGCTGCCTACTCATTTGCATGAGCCAAGACCATAATACTGACGCTGTGGTACCCCGGGGAGGGACTGCTTATCCCCACTCATCCACCCACACCTGCAGGCTCCTCAAATGGATCGAGGATGGGAACCCCAAGGACCCCTTCCTGAACCCCGACCTGATGAAGAACAACCCGTGGGTGGAGAAGGGCAAGTGCATCATCCTGTGAAGCCCCCCAGAACCCCCAGATGAACATCTTTTTTGGACTTGTAAAGGTGTCACTTTTATAAAGGCTATTCAAGAGATTTTTGGAGTTTTTATTTTGGGGACATATTTGACACAAGGCAGGTGGGGAGCTGATTTCTAGCTGAAAAGGAGCTGGGGAAGTCCTGGACTGGGGGGGCGGGGATCCCAGTGTGGAATGGGGGCTGGCCTACAGCAGATCCCGGATGTACATGCTGCGCCTCACAGCATTGGACACCCCCTCATTGAAGCGGAACCAGACGTGGCTCCTGCCCACTGCCGTGCCCATGCGCCACTCCGCTGACTCCGTCTTGGGGGCTGCATCCTCAGTGGGGGCGGCCGCACTTCTGACAACCACACGCCCAAAGAAGTCTCTCTCGGGCTGAGGGTCAGAGAAGGGACCCTGGTGCCTCACAGACCCCAGTTCCCAGCCCGAGCCCGCCAGGGAGTGGAGCCCACCTCCGTGTAGAGCCAGGCTGGACCCCTCACCTGCTCCTCAAAAACGGCCTTGCTCATCATGCGTTCCAGACGCTGCTCGTGGTTCCGGGAAGCAGGGTGCTGCACCCCTTTCTCCTCACCCCTCACCGGGCACTCGGCCCCGGGGAGATCCCCCTCTACCTACAGGAGCATGAGAACAGGGTGAGGCCAGTGGGCAGAGCACACCAGGGACAAGGTCCTTCCGAGGGCTCACCTGGGGGGCGCCGCTCACCTGGGGGCCCTGGGTGGCCAGGGCTGAGGCCTCCGCCCTACGCATCTTCTCCACTTCAATCTCTCGGGCGATGAGCTGTTTGGCCTGGTAGGTGAGCGGCTTGCGGGTGGGCAGCTCTGGGAAGCGGCAGATCTCCTCCACATTCCTGCTCTTGGAGAGCGGGGACACCAGGGCCTGATCAGCTCAGGGGAGGTGTGGGAGACTGCTGACCCCACATGTCACTACTCCAAACTAGAGTCCGGCTCCCCACCCTGTGGTGCTGGGGTGACCAGCTGAGAGAGGGCAAAGCAGGGTCTCCAGAGACGGGGTGTCCCGCATGTATGGAGGACAGCCCTGCCCCAGGCACACTGGCTCCTCTCACTGGGGTGGGGGACCCAGGACCAAAGCCTGAGGCAGCAGCAGGGCCTCCAGGGGCCGCTCTGGGGTGGACAGGTCGGGGCACAGGCTGGGAGGGGTCCTGGCTGCATCTGAGAAGACCGAGCTAGAACCCAACCCCCCCACACACACACACAGACACACACACTAAACAGTTAGGGAAAAGACCCTACTCTAGACTCTGTGCCCAAGCCCTCAGGTGTGTTGGGGGGAATGACCCTGGGCAGGGTGAGGGGCACTCACGGCTCCAGGCGGTAGGCATACTGCCCGTCAGGCATGCGCTCCTGGCGGTACGTGAGGCTGTAGGCCAGCATGGTGCCCACAAGGCCGGCCAGCTGCTGCTTCTCTCGGGCACTGTACAGCTGGGTGCTCACCTGGGACAGACATGGGGGGGACGAGGGGGTGTGGCAGGAAGACTGAGGACAGGCAGCCGAGCCTATGCCAACCAGGAGCCCCTCCCCAATGCAGCACTCACGGGGCGCAGCTTGGGCATGAGGATGTCCAGGAGCGGGCACAGGGTGTCCAACACCAGGGCCTGGGGTGTGGCACGGCTACGGGCAGACGGCGTGATGCCGGACACCAGCATCTGGAGTAGGTTCTGGCTCTGGTTCATCCGGTTCTGGGCCTATCGGGGGGCAGGGGAAGCAGGGCCTGACTCAGCCCAGGACCCCCTGACCCTAAGCGGGGAGCAGGCTGACCCAGCCAGGACCCCACCCCCTCGGCACCTCCTGCTGGCTGCTGGGGAAGATCAGCTGTGGGACGTGGACGGCAGCAAAGAGCAGGTGGAAGGCAGCGGGCAGGAAGGGCGGGTAGCGTAGCAGCTGAAAGCTCTGGCCGTGCAGGGCGGCCCGTGCCAGCAGGTCATCAAAGGCCAGCCAGTCCAGGGCGGTGCACACAGCACCCAGAGTCGGGTCCCGAAGCCGAAGCCGCAGGAAGTTGTCATACAGGCCCTGCGGTCCATGTTCGGTGGCCATGAGCCCTTCCTGCCCCCTACCCACCCTTCAGGATCCAGGCTGAAGGGGCATCAGCCCTGAAGTAATTTGACCAAGTGCAGAAGGACACCACCCCCGCCCCCAGGAGCTGCTGCGCTGACCCTCCCCCTTCCTCTGGTCACAAATGTCAAGAGCAGCAAAAAGCCCAGCCCCCACCGCTCGCCTGCTGGCCCCTCTCACTGAGCTGCCCACTGCCCTGTGGGATTTTCAGACTCAGGATCCCCTAATCCAAAGCTGCTTAGGGTCCAGGCCCAGTTTAGGTCTGGGTTCTGAGATAGGGAGGGGGGCGGGGCGGGGGACAACTGCCATCTGCTGCAGCCAAGTTTCCACCAATCCCCCGTGCTCTCAGTCCCACTGGGACCTGAGCCTGGCTACACTCCAACCCCACAATCAACAAGTCCTGTCCCCGCACTGTCTTCTCCTGACGTCCCAATCTGCCACCTTCCCCCACACAGTGGACACCTGCCCCCTTGGCTGGTCAGGAGTCATTACCTGTACGACCTTCTCATGCTCCCCAGCGGAAGCGGCCACATGCAGTACTCGGTGGAAGCGCTGGGAGACGGACGTCAGGGCCACATCGGTGACACATGGGCCCAAGTCCCCAGTCGGAAGCGTGTGGGCAGGTACAGCCAGGTCCTGTCCCACACGGCGCCTAGGGAGGGACACTGAGGCTGGACAAAGTCTTCAGTCACAATGACAGCAGTCCCTCACCTCCCCAAGCCTCCGAGTGCCCCTCTTGAGACTCCGCACTGTCCCAGCCCCTTTCCTGCGGTTCTCGCTGCCCAAGGACCAGACACCTCGGCCCCCCGACCCCCATGACCGCACCTCTGGGCCCGGGGCAGCTGGAAGACCTCCTGCCACACGGTGAAGAGACCTTTGCGCTGGTCCTTGAGGCCGACTCGTGTCGTCTGCACGGCCCGTACACTCAGCTCCCGCCGGCCCTGCCCATGCAGGAACTGGACACGTGGGGACAGTGAGACTCAGCACGGCCAGGCAGGCAGGCCGACAGCCCACATCCAAGGCCACACTGACCTGCAAGGTGTTAATGCAGGCACGGATGTCGTTGTCTGTCTTCTCACAGAGTGCCGCAAGTGCGCCGGGGTCAGCCTGCATGCCACGCTGCTGGGATATCTGTGGGCACAGAAGGGCTGGCTGGGCACCCTCACCCTCCACTGGGGAGGGGGCAGCTCCCAGACGAGGAAGTACCATCCACAGGCATGGGGGCACTTCCATGGGAGAAGGGGTTGGGGTGCAGGCGCTCACGGCCCTGCCTGGAACCACACACTCACACAGGTCACTCTGGCAGGGCCACCCCCAGACACCACTCAGGGCCTCCAGTCCTCACTGGCCTACCTCCTGGAGTCTCTGCAGCAGCCGCGAGGGCAGTGTGGGCGGAAAGTGGAGGACGAGAGCCTGCTGCTTCAACTGTCGCAGGGCCGGTGCAAACCTGGAGGGGGAGTCGGGATGCCATCAGTCCCACACCCACCATGCCAGGGCACGACCTGGGTTACGGGGAGCAGGCTCTCCACAGGAATCCAGCAGCCCTGCTGCCCCACCCCTCGGCACTGCCTGCCTCCCACCAGCTCACTGGTTGTTGCAGATGCAGATGACGGGTCTCATCAGGAGCGCCCCCTCTGCCCGACGCCGCCGTCTCCCACCAGCAGGCCCTGCCTGGCCTCCTGGCTCCACCTCCTGAGGCCCCTTGCGGTCCAAAATGCTTAACAGGACATTGATAGCGGCCTGCAAGGGACAACAAGGTGCATGAACAGCAGCCCCAGAGCCCCTCGCCAGCCCCTGGAGGCCCCCCGCACCCCCTTCCCGGCCCTGGAGGGCTGCTCCCACCGTAGGTGCCCCATCTATCTCATCGATGACCAGGCAGTTGGGTCTCCCGCCAGCACCGAGCACCGACTCCATCTGTGTAGCTGCTTCGATACGCGTACGGAAGGCCTCAGGGCTGCGATCATCGCTGGAAGTGGACACACTGAGGTCAGGGGACAAGCCGCCACACCCACTGCTGGACCGAGAGACTGACCACCACGAGGCCCAGCCTTCCTGTGCCACATGAAAACCCACGGGCAGCCTAGAAGCCGTCCATCTGTCCACACCCCACCTGGCATCTTCCAGTCACCATCTTCCCACTCCTCTCACCTGGCATTCATCTCAACCACGAAGTAACCCGCGTGCCGTGCAATCACATGGGCCAGGGTGGTCTTGCCCAGTCCTGGAGCCCCGCACAGCAGTGCCACCTGCAGCCAGAGCAGATGGCATTCTGGAGCTGACCCTGCCTCCAGGGCACCCCTTCCCCAGCACTCTGTCCCCCACTCCTATGTGGCCTGATCCTCATGGTCTCCACATGAGGACAAAGGCACACAGCCAGTGTGAACAAGTCACTGAGCAGATGAGAGGCCCATCAAGAGGCATCCATTTCATCCACTGTCACTGGGAATGTTCTTGAGTTTCAGCTCAGGCAGTTAACATGACAGATCAAGACCACCAACGTCAGTGCACCCATAAGAGCCTCGTGGTGCTTGGCAGCTGCCAAAGCACCAGCCACCTCCAACTCAGTCCTCAGCCTGGAGGAATGAGGCCTGCACTAGGATTTACCTTTTGCCGCGGCCGCTGGCTTGCATCCAGCTCAGCTTCCAGCATCTCTTCCAACACCTGTTCATGACTCTTCCATTTGCTAGAGACTGCAGTCTCCTTACCAGGCCGGGCTGGCTCCACACTGGGCCTGGGCTTCCGGGAGGGTATCTCCCGGCCAAACACCACCAGATCCCACAGCTTCAGCCATTTGAGAAGGCAGCGGTTGGTGAACTGTAGGAGAGCAGGAGGATGCAGCCTGATGACTCTCCGCCCTCAGTCCACTCGGTCCACCTGCTGTCACAAGCCCCATGGCACAGACAAGGATAGGAAAGGGCATGACCAGCTGCCAGTCTCCCAGGCGGCAAGAGAGAGAACCGGCTTCCCAGCTGGCCCTTTCCTCCCTAGCGCACCCAAGCATCTAACACGGAAAGGCCCCACTGTGAGGACGACCGACAGGTGACCGCCAGCCCAACTCCCAAGTGACAAGCAACAGGCCAACTCCATGCCTGTTTTCCATCTAAAACTCCACTGAGTGGATCAGAGCTTTATCCATCCCAATAAGTTCACCAGCTGAGTGTGGTGGTTTTCCCTCCGTGATAATGGGAGTCAATCACACTTGAGCAAGAACAAGGCCTCACATCATCACTAAGTAGCTCTGCATAGTGTCGGGGTGCAAACTCATCAACCCATAGCCAGTGCTGGGAGGTATCCTGAACATCAGCAGCCTCCGGCTCTTCCTTTGGGGGCCCTGTGGACTGGGCAGCCTCCTCCTCGTCTTCAGGCCTAAGGTTGGGGAGTATCAATCGGGGCCTTGAGCCCAGACCATGCTGACCCCACACCCAAGACTGGAGGAGAGTCCCGCTAAGTCACCTGCGCAGCACATCTGAGAACCGCTGGGCCTCTTCAATCAGGTGCTCCCGCCGCTGTGTATACAAGGGTCGGGGTCAGGGCTGCTCAGACCTCAGTCTCACCTAAAGCCACCTCATCCTGCCCAAGGGACCCCAGCAGGCCCACCTCGTTGTCCACCTGCTCCCTCAGGGAAGCGAAGGGCACGCCCAGCAGGTCCAGCTGGTTGCGGCTGTGCCATGGGACTTCCAGGAGAGGGCTCTGTGTGAAGGGTCCACAGTCACCTCTGTACCCAATCATGGGTCTCCAACATCAATCAGCCAGTGGAGGGAGGCACAGGACCCTCCAGAGTAGCTTCCCCTCCCGCTGGGGGCTCCGTGGCCACTACTTCGCCTCGTCCAGGGCCATGCCCGCACCACCATGTGCTACCATGGACACAGGTGAGCAGACCAGGAGACCTGGCCGCGGTCAGCGTCCACCTCACACACACCAGCCAAGCAGAAGATGACCAGGTGAGCTTCCTGGGAAGTGAGCCCAGCCATGCAGCACCCACCTGCACCCCAGTGCCCACGGGGTCATCCCGAAGCACCAAGAAGACGCGGTCACCGCTGGTGGAAGTCACGTTGACATAATCCTCCAGGACAGGCGGCCGCCCAAGGACAGGATTATGGACATCTGCGGGCCTGAGAGGGGCCAGGGCTCAGACTCCGGAGCAGCCAGCCCTGGGTGAGGGGCCCCACACAGGATCGGCCTTGGGTGGCTCCTTGCCAAGTTCCGGGGTCCGTACCCATGGTCATGGAGCTCGGCGGGAACCTCCGGGCTCGGTGGGGGCGTAATGTCCCCCAGTGGATAGTTGGGCATCAGCTCGTCGTCAGACCCGAAGTCCAGCCTCTTGACCACCTCCAGCCGCGGCCGTTTGGGGGCTATGGAGACACACAGAGGGAACAGGAGACCCCCCTCCAGCCTCACACCCCAGCCGGCCGGCCCCCCACCAAGCCTAGGGACATACTGGGGGGCAGGGGTCCATCTCTCTGGGCATCACTGTCCCCCTCACGCTTCCTGGAGCCGTCCTTGTCCTTCCGCAGGGACCTGGCTGGAGAGGGGTGGGGAGCCGCGCCCCCTCTGGTGATGGCCTCCTCAAAAGACAGCCGAGGTCGGCCCACTGGGGGATCAGGGGTCCGGGCAGGGGGCAGGGGGCTGTGTCCTGCAACGGCCGCCCCTGATGGTCAGATTGCTAGGTCAGCTGTGTTGAAGCCGTCCCCTCCCGCGCCTCCCACACTGTGCCGCCCCCTCTGGTCTTCGCCCTCCAGAAAAGCCATCGGGAGGGAGAAGCTGGAGCCGCGTTCACCTTCAAGTTCGGCGAGCACCTCGAGCTCGGCCTCGAACTGGCTATGAAAGTCATCCTCGACGCCGTACAGCTCCTGCTCATAGTCCTCCATGTCGCGAGTCCTAAGGAAACTCTAGACGGTAGACGAAACCTCCCGCGCCCGGAAATTCCAGCGCCCCGAGCGCTGCCCGTGCAGCCAATCAGCGCTTGGCGTGCCAGACGGTGCTCGCCATTGGGTAGCGGACGGAATGGGCTGGCGCTGCGTCAATTGGGCGGGGCTAAATCAGGTCGTTGGCTTCGAAGACGAGACCGGGCGGAAGTGGGGCTGCGCGCGCGGGTCGGGCAGATCCCGGCTGAGGGCCGGACTGCGCTCGCAGGGTAGGCGGGGTTCAGTCAATAAATTGGAGTCGAGCTGCCGGTACAGAAACGCTCGTCATTGGTCAGTGCAGCTGCCCTTCGCGGGGGGGGGCGGACGGAGGCGGGACAGAGGCGGGGCTGCGCACGCAAACCGGCCAGGCCGAGGCGTACCTCCGTAGCTCTAGGGTCTGCTGGGGAGAGGGTCGCAGGTGGCGGGAGCCGGGGCTGGAAACCAGCTGGGCAACGCCATCGGGGACCCGGGCTGTGCGGCGCGGCTGCAGGTCGGTCGGGGGGCAGGCAAGAATGCGGGGTGAGTGTGACCGCTAGCAGGGCGTCTGCGGGGGTGTCCCAGAACCCCGCATCGGCGCCCAGGCCGAGGCTAAGCCCGTGTTCCCCTCCCACGCGCTCCGTGGAACCGGAGGAAGGCATTTCACGTATCCAGGCCGGGCTGGGGGTGTCCTCGGAGAGCAAGCCAAGAGTACCGCTGAGTGCCATCCGCAACCCGCTGAAGCCCCTCCCCCCAGTGTTCCTCGTGGCGAGTCTAAGAGTTCGATCCTGGCCCCACGGGCTGGGAGGCAGGGCAGGGAGTCTGACTCGGGATAGGGGTTGTGATCCTGAAGTGGGGGGGCGGTGCTTGACTCAGAGATAGGGTGTCTGCTGCAAGGAGGTATGTGATTTAGGAATGATGTGGTTGTCGGCTCAGTGGCACTTAACAACTTGGAGAAGCGGGAGTCAGACTCAGGGTTGGGACATCTGACGTGAGGGGGATTCAGACTGACAGGGAGGGGGTATCTGACTGGGGGAGAGGGGCGTGTCTGACTGGGGAAGGGGCGTGCCTGACTGGTGGAGAGA